GGGATTTGTGGAATTTGGGATTTGTGGAATTTGGGAATTGTGGAATTTGGGATTTGTAGAATTTGGGATTTGGCGGATTTGGGATTTGGGGTATTGGAAGCTCGTGGAATTGGGGACTTATGGAATTGGGGAATTATGGAATTGGCAATTATGGAATTGAGGAATCATGGAAACCGAAAACTTGACAAATCTAACAATTAAGAAACCTAAAAAAGTAAAACACAAATATAAAAACTTTATAACTAAAAAGTTCCCCAATAGAACATGAAACTGCACAACCTTGCAAACGTTACTATAACTTAAACTAATTACCCCACCTCACATTACTCTCAATTAACAAGAAGATCACCAAGGTTAGAATTGAGAAATGATTAAGTCAAACAAACATGGAAGATTAACTCGTTCGACTAGAGCACCTAATCGTTCAACAAACATGAAATTCCGTAGGTTAGAACGCTTCCTAACCTATATCTTTAATTACTACAAACTCATAATAAATCAAGAGCAATACTCTCATAATAATAATCGTTTTGATTCCATAATCTATCATTGTTCTTTGTGTGCTGGAATATTGACGTAAAAAATGATTAGCTATTTAGAGTGTCAGTTTGACCACAGATTCTAATGTGTTGGTAAACACGTCATGTTCTTCTGTAGCCTAATATTATTCCAGACCACACTTGGGTGTGGCTTCTTAATTATTACGAGGAACGTACGTTAATGAACTAGGAGAAACCATGAATATGGTGCTTATAAGAAGTGCGTCGCTCTTTTTTTATTATTTGTGTCGATACAAGAAAAAACTAGGCCTCATATGTTTAAATAAATAAATAAGACATAAGACATTTTAATATTGAATGAGAATAGTTAAAATACTTGAATGGTTAGGAAGAACATTTGAACTTTTACCAAATCCCTAGATTCCCAAATCTCTAGATTCCCAAATCCCTAGATTCCAAAATTCCTAGATTCCCAAATCCTTAGATTCCCAACTCTCTAGATTCCCAAATCCCTAGATTCCCAACTCTCTAGATTCCAAAATTCCTAGATTCCCAACTCCCTAGCTTCCAAAATTCCTAGATTCCCAAACCCCTAGAT